TTATGGAGAAAGAGATCAACATTTTACCCTGTGCACCGGAAGGAGGATAGAGGATGGGGGCAGATAAAATAGGTTAAATGACCCAAACCCAAATGGTCAAAGTGAGTAGCATGAAAAGTGAGAGTGGCCGTTACACCACCAACATGGTAATGAGAGTCGGTTCCGAATTGCTATGCTGGGAAGAGGTCTGCGATTGAGCATCGAGAGCTGTGAGTGCGTGTCGACGCCGTGAATGATGGCATTGCCGATGGTGATGCCGCCGGTGTGGTTGGTGTTGATGCCGCTGGCATTGGTATGGCGGGTGATGATGATGACAATGACAGTTTTTCCAGCGGCTCGGTGCTTTTTGGTGTATCTTTTCAGCCTGGCAGAGCTCTGGTTGAAGACGTTGTCGATGCCCAACTCGTGACAATGCGCACGGACGTTCTAGGGTCTGACAGCAACCAGGTGAATTTGTGTAGTGTGTATGCGAAAAGTCGGGCCTTGGAGACAAAGTAAGAAGCATGGGTCTGCTGTCGAGCCCTTCATGGGCGTCAAATGCCAAATTGGGGTAGCATTCAATGCCTTCATGTGGACGCTTTGATATGGCCTTATCCTGTGGACTTGGCTTAATCTCATCAAGCACATCGCCCTCCGTCTGCTCGGTGCCAGTGCCTGCATATCTGCTCTGGTGCGATCGAGAGACAAGTCCGGTCTGCCCTGCCTCTTCCAAATCCACCTTGGTCCCCAGCTTCCCTTTTTCCTTATCTCTTAGCCTAGGCCCAACTGAATTGCCATTGACCGCCCCTTTCCAAGACGAAATCGCCAGTAGCGGCAAGCACTCCAGACTGGAAGAAGTGAGCTCCGCTTCGAGACGGGAGCCGGCCCAATCAGCTGATTCGGTATGGAGGTCGCCAGACCAACTGTGCACACTGCCGTGGCGACTGGAACCGCTTCGGCTGGTTGATCGCGCTTGACTGGTGCTGTCTGTGATGGCAGTGCTGAGAGTGCTGGTAGTACTGAGTGTGCAAACGCTGACGGCATCATCGACTGCGTTGCCGTCGCCGATGTCAAGGGCAGACGTCCGGGCAGTGGATGTTCGACAGGCGACAGTGTGAATGGGCGGGTGCCGGTGATGCTGAGTAGAGAAAGGGTCGGCAGCAGGGTTGGCGGCAGGCGCACAAGCATCCGTCAGTCGACGATGATGTCGATGGCGATGCTGCCGCCTGCGTGGATGGGAGGCAAGCTCAGTCAGTCTGGAACGTGATCCGGTCTGCTCTTGATCGCCCAATCCCAATCCATTGGACCCATCTGCTTTACGCAGTTGTTTGCGCTGATGATGACGCTTGCGAGCGTGCAGTTGCTGTTGGTATTGCTGGAAGTAATTTTGATGATGGTACTGGTGGTAATAACGATAATGGTCATGATGGTGGTTGCGGTGGCAACGAGAGTGGAAAGCCGGCGAGTTGGACTGATTGGACGGCAGTCGAGTAGGACGCAGCGTGGTGGAAAGTTGGCCAATTTGTGAAGAAGCAATGTGTGAAACGTCTGGCTTGGCCAAGGCGGCGGAATGGTTAGAAGTTCCCACTTCCCTACGAGCCAGGCTGCCGGCATCACATTTCGGTTGCCGTTGATGCAGCCTAGTGTCCAGGCTGGCGCTTGATGATGGCTGAGGGTAGAGAATTCGCGCCTGACGACCGGTTATGCCTAAATTCGTCTCCTGGGCTTGGTGATCTAGGTGGTCTTGGCATGTCAGCAAATTAGACCGCCCACTCGAGTGAGGAGGGGCGATAAGGACGGATGTGTGATGCGAAGAGGCGGGATCGAGACAGAAGGAAGGAAAGTGATGGGGTGTCCCACTGAAAAATAAGAAAATAAAACGGTCAAAAGAAGAAAGGGTCTATTTTAAAACCTGAAATAAGTAGTAAATGACGAAGAGCACTTCCAAATGAGCCAAAGAAATCAGTTGGAAAGTATCCTTTAGTATGATCATTAAATGATCCGTATATCGGCTTTACTTGAAATCGAAATAAGATTAATTTGGCGTTGTAACTGTTTATTTGAGCATGAATTTCCAAGACTAACGCTCTGCGATTCCCAAGAATTCGTCTGCCATCTAAAAGGCAACGTCAGAGTTTGAGGCAATTCGTTAAGAAAACATCACCAAACACCAAACCATGAATGACGACCAGCTGAGATTTTAGCAAACCCTTATAATTTAAATTCACCCATTTGATTATCTTATTCTTTCCCAAAATACCTTAATAAAAATGAAATGGATTCGGTTGTGACCAAACATCTCCCTCCTAACTAAAATCACATTCCAATTGATCAAACGATCTTGGTGTATGTATTTCTGCTCATTTGCATGTGTGCCATTATGCATGTGATGATCAAGTG